CATCAAAACAGATACCTTCTATACAGAAGAAAATAGAGCCCCAAAGTGAAGATTTACTTATTTCTAAAGACTTACCACTAAACACAGAAGAGGAAGAGTACTTAGATAGTTCTATAGAAATTGATTTCGTCAAGAAGAAGGAGCCACCCACAAGTATTAAAACCGTGAAGTGTAAAATTAAGCGTTTAAAAATCCCTGCTATGACTCTCGATTCTGGAGCAGAGCCTCCTATAGTGACTGAAAATATTGTTGATCGTGTAAAGGCTAAAATTGATAAGTCTGAAATATACGATCTTAGTGGTATCGCTACTGTTCCGATTGAATCTATTGGAGTAGTTCACAATTTACCTATTACTTTAGCTCCTGGACTTACCATTCATAAAGATTTTGTTGTTGTGAGATATAACAAGCCAACTTTAATATTTTCTAACCAGCTTTTAAAGAAATACAATTGTGCTGTAGATTGGGTAAAATGAATTAAAGTTCCCTCATAATGGAAAAGATTATATCATTCCAGTAACTATGCATAAAGTCAAGAATAAGCTTGAGGTGAACTATGCGAACATTGTGCTACAAGGTAAGGAGTCTATACTCTCAGACTATATTTTGCAGGATTTAGGTGAGGGTGACAATGCATTAAAAAAAAATATATAAGCTATGAAGAGCTTGAAAAACTGTTATATGATACTCTCAAGTCTAAAGAGGATCTCAATAAATTGTGTGAAAAATTATTAAAACTATGGTAAACTAAATAGGCCGTTAGAAGGCATATAGTAGAAACATCTTTTATATAGCTAATTTACGACGTATTTCAGCTTTAATTTTTTCATCCCGTCTAGCTTCTTTCTCATAATATGCATGCAGATCCTTTTTGCTAATATTCAAATCTTCTGAGCTTTCAGGCGTTAGCTGATTCTGGATGATAGATGATTCAAAAATACCAGCAGACTTAGATCTGGGTTTTCTTTCTCTGGTTTTTTTCGCCTTACTGCCTCCTTTCAAAGCTGAATTAGTCGATTTATTAGGCTCGGCCCCAGCTTCATATATCATATTTTCTAGTACTGTAATAGTAGAAATATCTTGGTCTAGGATATCTAACGAAAACTGCTCACCTATATCATTTATACTAGAAAGAGACCCAAAAGAGTTGAGCGAAGCTGTTGGCATATTAATTGCCTGATCCTATGCAACTTTATTTTTTTCTTCACCTCTCCAAATCTGATAAATGTGTTTTTGTGATATGCTATATTTATCTCTTAGATCATTTAAAACTTTAAACCTTGGCTTCTTGTCATGGCATTGCATAATGAAATTATAATCGGCTGGTGAAAAGGTAGAAGCATCACATCTCATATGTTGCCTAACCATGATATCAATGTTTTTTATATCTAATATATCTAATATAATCCTCCTAAATAATTTATTAAATAGAATATACAGGAAGAATGTAATATACAAGAAGAAATTATTCTGGATAAACAGGATAAATAGGATATACAGGAAACAATCTATTCTGAATAAACAGGATAAATGGGATATACAGGAAGTATTTATTCCAAATATATAGGATATACAGGAAGAATATATTATTCTGAATATATAGATTGAATATATTATCTCAGAATTTTATTCACATATTTTTTTCCCCGCTATGTAACCATGTCAAGATTATGTCCAATGTGTATACGTTAAAAGATATAAAAGATAGAGGAGGTTCTAAAAGGGCCGGGCATCGGCTAGATAGTGCATATAAGGAAGAAATCGAAAAAAAATTATATTCTGCTCTTAGATCCAAAACCGAAATTAATGATCTTAGCAAAGGGTGCTGACTAAAATTTCAGAGTATTTAGAGTGAGAGAAGAAGTTTTAGCAGATCAGTGCTGATGTTAAAAATAAGATTAGCCAGTTAAATACAGTTAATACTAGGCTTAGAACCCAACCTACTTCTGAACAGATATCCCATAATGAACTTGAAGCCAAACGTTCTGCCGAAATAAAATTGCTAAAATCTTCAATTAAATCATTGAAGAGAGAAGTGACCTTGGCCCAGAAAGCATCATCCCTCGATAAGGTCAAGATTATTTCTCTTGAAGCTAAGATAGATGAATTGGAAGCTAAAGTAAAGCATCTAGAACTAGAACGAGTGGGTTCTCCACCACCTATATCCCAAGGTTCAAATATAGTAGAAGGCTTATTAGAGGAGCCAGCCCAAATAAACTTATCCGAAATCGATTCTCTCAGGCTTGAATTGGGACAGGTAAAGGAGAATTTAAATTCAAAAAAACACAAAATAGAATGTATAGAAAAGGGGATCGAGGCAACAGATATTATATATAAACGGGAATTAGATAGATTATATTTGGCGCAATCAAATTTGATAGAGGAAAATTCTCACCTCTGAATTTTAGTATTAAAGAAAGATAATGAAGTAGTCCCAGAAAGATCAGCTGAGCATGAGCCTCCCCTTACGAATGATACGAAAGAAAGAGTGAGTAAACAAGTTCCAAAAGAACTACAACTTTCTGCTCTTAATCTTCTACTCTCTTAAATATTTTCTGTAGGTGGTGCAGAAGCCAAGCCTTTACTAACAACTACCCCTATCATTGCGGGTTCCTCAATCATCAGCAAAATTTTTAAGCAGATATATATCGATATATAGCAGTTAATTGATATATATCGATTAACTGCTATATATCGATATATATCACTAACGATAAATAATGATTATTGATATATAATGATTATAATTACTATCGATAAATAACGATTTTATAAAATTCGACCAATTTTTTTAAACTTTAACATTAATTTTCTCGATAACTATCGATCCAAATCAGCTCAAA